TCTCTCTCTCTCTCTCTCTCTCTCTCTCTCTCTCTACTTTCTTAAGACAAAAAAAATATAATAATCAATTTTGTTATAAAATAATAACGAACAATGGTCGCACGGCACTTCATTCCCGTTTCCAGCTACTTAACTGCAACCGAACGTAATCCAACTCCTGGCTGGTGGAAGAGCAGCGAGCCATCTAATTTCATATACAGAGAGCATCGAGAACGAAGACTTCTCTGGATTTATAGTCGCGGTTCTTGGAAAACAAGACTCGAATACGGCGATTCTCGTTCTCGACGCGGAGAAATAAGATATTCGCGAGTGAGTGCCTTATTCGACAGTATTCCGCCGGCGAAGAGACGAGTAAGTTGCCTCCTCGCGCGCTTTTAAACTCTCGCGCTAAATAAAGTCGAAGGACGTTTAATTTACATACATTTAACTCCCCCTGCTTCCTTCCCGCCACTTCCTTCTCGCTCTTCCTCTCTCTTTTCCCTCTATCTATTCCAGTCCCTCGGCAACGGTATTTTCCTCCTCGTGCGGTCTGATCAACGGTATCTCGCGGTCGTCCCCACCATAACGGCGACGACGACAATCTCCCAATCTTGGTCCAGCAACCCTGGCTATCTTTTCTCTCGCCCGATCTTTTTTTCGAATTCTTCAGTGGCCTTTCTCTCTCTTTCTCTTTCCGTTTCTTTCGCTATCATTTCTCTCATCGCTTTTATTTCGATTCATTTTCCATCTCTCTTCATCTCTGCGCATTGCCTCTGTTATCTCACTCATGCATCCACGTGGTCTCTGTACCTTCCATCTCTCTCTCTCTAACCCGAAAACTCGCTGACCCAATTTCTACAAAACTGCATTGCGTGTCCTACCTGCACGCGGTTTCACCTATCTACAGCTTGCATTCGAAACTACCCTCTCCTTTCCCTTTTACCTCCCAATACGCCCGATATTTCACCCCTGTGTGTGTGCATGGCGTGCACGATGTGCACTTCCCTCAGTCTCCATTCACCTCGCGGACACGGGTAAAA